TAACAACTGATCATATATATAGTTTACTGGTACTTCAATATATAACTGATCATTCATTCAATCAACTGATTTTATAATATTTTTTCCTACTGATCATATTATCTATTTTACTGATCACTTAAATCCATGCCAATTTTCTATTTGTCATTTCGAAAATATAGAATCACTTTCGACTGTTCGCTGCATTCGAGTTAGATTAGTTATCAAATATTTGATTGCCTTTAATTGTAGAGGAGTCTAAAGATGTATAAAGATCATTGTTAATAACAACATTAAAACTGTTAAATAATAAAAATTCACAAAGTTCATTTAATAGTGTTGAGTCAATTTAATTGATTGCTTCTAAATAACCATGAACGTCTTCCGGTGAATTTATACGTGTAACAAATGTATCAAACAATCGCCAATTATTCTCAGCAAATTTTCTTGATGATAACTGATCGTTTTTCAAAACAATTAATAGCATTTTATTGTTTTCATGATGTTCAATTACACAATTAGTAAGTTTGTCCATGGTTTTTCATTATTTTCCAACCATTAGACTGAATTAATTTAAAAAACGAGTCATTTAATAGAAATATTTCTCGACATAATTGATCTCGAATAGATGTTTCTAATTCGTCAGCATCATCTCCGTCATCATTTGTGTCATCTTTCTCTTCATCATCGCCTGAAGGCGATCTAAACGCTTCGTGAAATATTTTTTGGATGAAATCAAGACAGTCATTCATACAAACCATTTTATTATTGGGTAGTACATCATCAGTTAAAACAACTTCCTCTATAAGCTTAGTCAATCGACCATAAACTAATGAAACAATTCGATGAATTAAATATGGTAAATTATTTAGCGAATGTGACCAATCAAGTTTTGATAATGCATCAATATTTTCATCACTACTCTCAGGAGAATATCGTCCGATATAGTCATCGAATAAAAATTTTAATTGATCAGAAGATACTTTATCACCATCTTCGACACTATCTAAATTTGATTCTTCATCAGTATCCTTTGAAGATGACATGAGTTAAAGTGTTTCGAAAAATGTAAAATGACTGAAAAGAATATCATTGAAAACTTGGTATGGCATATTAATTATGTTAGACTCTACTGTTTTGTATCGAAAATTTCCCAGATAAGTGAATCAAAAAAAAATCGAAATTAAGAAAATGAGAAGAATTTCTACAAAAAAATATTAAAGCTTATCTATTTGTGTAAATTTATATTTTCATTCAAAGAATAGAAAACCTTATTAACAGTGATAACTGACAAGATTTAGCGAATAGGCTGTTGAAGAAAAACATATCAGGTTGTCAGAGTTTTTGCAATAGTGAAGTACTTAGAAAACAATTTATGGATTTTTAATTGCACCAAAATTCAACACTTCAATAGCTGTCGAAAATAAAACAACAAAATGGGTAACACTTAGTCAAAACCAAATCATTAAGAGAGAGAGTAAACTTTTCTTCGACTTAATGAAAACAAAATATGAAAAACAAACGCGCAAAAGATGAAACTTGCAAGTGATCATTCAACTGTATCGATCACCACAGCATACAGAGACATGGGAATAAGATATTGGTACCTGGGAAAAATAATAAATAGACAGAACAAGCAAAGACAATATCCAAGTAGATAAAATATTATTTTGTTCTTGGTAGTCGATCCTTACGTCAATCATGTGTTTCTTTAAATTTGACAAGTCAACATGTAATTTTCATTAAGGAATTGATTAATTAATTTTGAATGCATGATAATGATTGATAACGAAGAGAAAAACGATGAATTCAATTAATATTGATATTTTTATTTTATTTTAATACAAGAAAAAGGAAGAAGCATAGTAAGAAACAAAACAAAAGAAAAGCAACCGAGAGAAAAATCAGTATTAAAATAAAATAACGCGAGGCCTTTCGAAGTTTTTCTTTTTTCAAGCAATTTTTAAGGGTACTGTTTGCAGTTCGATAGATCAAATGTACATTCAAGAAAGAATAATCATATGATGAATATTCATATATAGAGGGCATATTTATATAAAAATATAGGATAATTTTTTTTACAGGAAATAAATCAATAATGAATAAAGAATAATAGGTTTACAGGTGAAACAAAGCATAAATGCAACTATGAACAATGATTCTCTAAATAATGTAAGTATTGCATAGTTATACAATTAATAAATAATCATTGAATAAAATAGTGGAGGTGATGTTTTGGGTGATAGAAATGCAGAGAAGAAAATGTCTTTGGGGTTCCCCTCTCTCATGATTGGGCGGAAGTCTCGTTGCTTCTTTGACTAGGTCGTTTTTTCCACTAATAGGTGTTTTAAACAATCTGTAAGTCTATTCGCGTGGGTATAGGTTTGAAAGAAGGGGTGACAGACATCCACACCCACATCCAATATTTTTGCTGCAAATAGTACAATTTCCCTCTTTTGCAGGATATTGTCTATCCCTCACAAAAAATGTGTCGTTGAATAACGTCGAAGTAATACACATTGATGCTTTGCATGTAAGTATCTTCGAGATTTGTTGAACAGCATCTGTTCGCTTTATTCTTGTATTTGAAGACCTGGAAGCTTTTTTCCAAATTTCGATTAAAAAAAGGGTGCCTATGATCACATGATGACAAAACACATAGTGTGGAACGCATTCTATTCTCTGGATTATATTCTTCATATTGCATGACAATCCAAGCAGATGACCACAAAAGAATAATATGCATTGCGACTCTACTAACATTCAATAAATTTAATAACTGATCTCTTCCATTCGATCAACTTTCTCTTCTTTTGAGATGTACCTTTTATTAAAATCACGAAAGCTTTAAAAAATCAGTTCGTCAGCAATTTATTTGCATAGTTTTCCATCATTCTTGATTTCGTTGATCCACGCATTCCACACCGTTCATTGATCAACCGTTTGGCTAATTGTTGATGTTGATTGTTATTCGAATATACCGCCGAATGGATCAGTAACAAAGTGAAAATATCTCGTTGTGCATTCGATCCGCCAGCAATAGCAGTTCGGTTTCGAATGGGATACAGAAGTTCCACTACTTGAGCATAGTCTCCTTCGTCGAAACGTTCAAGTGCGGCAAAGATACACGGACCGATTTCACGATAGGATTTTCCGGTATCCGTATCAGACGATTCGACTGTTTCTTTGAGTGAATGAAGAAAGTCTTTTTTCATTGCGGTATCGGCAAAATTATCCAAGACGAAGTAATGATGAAAATCATGGAAAAGTGTTTGATGATCATGCAAATGAACATCAAGAAACTGTTTCAATTGAGAATTGGATTGTGATGGACATGGATGCCCAGCTAGTTTGAGACGATAGATCAACGAAGCAGCATCTGTGTATTTTAATCGATTCAATTCTGTTCCATTGTTGTTCAAAAAGCAATGCTGAAGAATTTCTTTCGCTTTCTCCCAATTGCCTTGTTCCAATTCATATATCGCCCAATGCCAATCGATATGTGGTGCGATTATATCACATTGATGCCAATTATTGTCAGTTTTCTCCAAAAAATCGATTCCTTGCGATATTTGACCCATGTACTCGGTAGCATGTGCAAGTGCATGTGTAGCCCATGCATCATGTTCATTGAGTTCCAGTCCAACTCGAGCTTGTTTTTCTGCTTGTAGTACCATATTTGTTTCGCCTAAACCAAATGCATACATTCCATATAAATGCGATTTGAGTGGACGATGTGGTGATGATGACTCCCAAATTGGTAGTACTCGTGCAACTGAATCTCGAAGCATATTTTGGTTGCCAAGATGAAAATAGGCATCGAGTGCAAATTTCAAGGTCATGATATCAAAAGGATAACTTAGAAGGATAGTTTCCCATGTGTCAGTGGCGCGCGAACGATAGCCGAGTGACCAATCGATGAGAGCCTGTGTATGAAGACTAATGTAGGGATTCGACGAAGTTGCTGTATCACCGAGAGTTTCAACAACTTGGGCATGAGCCAATGCTGATGGACGAGGCATTGAGAACATTCCAAGAGCAGCGGCTAGAATACGACTGCTGGCGCAATTTGGATCGGAGGCGAGAAGACGAGATAGACTGGGTTTGATACCACCCAGTTGCTTGTCACTGTACCTGACGAAAGGAAGAATATAATTGAGCATGCAAAGACAATCCTCGTGACCAACTCACCAGCCAATATATTGCGTCAGTGTTGCATCGAACAATTTTGCTGTTTCATTGCTTGTCGTATCAATTGGAATTCCGTCGTTATGTAGAGTTTTGACATCACGCCAATGGTCTCGAAATGGCATTTCGAAAAACGAATCTATGCTCTCAATCTGCTTGTTGCCCTTGAAAATTATTCTCTTGATATATCTAAGATAAAATAAATAGAGATATGTTTGTAGGTATGAAACAGAACACGTGCAAAGATTGCAGTAATATAAAAGTCGAGCAGCACACGCTTGTCTGCAGTTATTTATCTTTTTCTTGTATGTTTCGTTACATATCAAACATGCAGAAGACCATGGTTCTCGATCGTTTTTCGCGATTGTGGGAGTTAAATTTTGGCAGAAATCAGAGCTAAACAACACCAACCAACTCCAAAATGTCATTCCTCTTCATATTTATTTTCTCATTAATCAACATAAGTATAAGCACAAGACACAGGTCTCAAAACAACATGAAAAACTGTCCCCTAGAACAGATTATAGTCTTTCGACTCCTCTTCGTCATTTGCAAAAAATAATATTATATTTCTTGATTTTGCTCTACCAGGATTGCGAACGAAATCTTCGATGATAAAATTGATTGCTTCTTGCGCTAGTTGAACATCAAGACAAGATGCTTTCAAAAGTATTTCAAGTGACGAGTTACTTAGCCTTTTTTGCAGCCAAGATTTAATTTGTTGTTACGTACTAAGCATTATTTCCCCTTCTTTCGGTTCAATTACAAACGTTCCGAGTATCTGATACAATCGGAACCATTTTGAACACTGCTTGCTTGCATGTTTGGTAAACTTTGATATAATCGACGTAATTGATGAATTAGGGTGTGGGTGTGGGTGTGAGTGTTGTGAATGTAAGTGGTGGTGTGCGATGACTCTCTTTTAACCCGCACCCATAAGCCGTTTTTCGACACCGTTCGAAGTTTTTTTTACAATATTATTGTGACAATTTTGTAGTGAATAAAAAATTACGTAACATATCAGAAACTCAGCGTGAAATCTTTTGATTTAAAAAAAAAATGGGCAGCACATATACTGCTAAAAGTCGAACGTCGTAAAATGGTACGTCGAGACCTTTTCCACTTATGTTAGATCAGTAAATAGATGATATACTACTTTTCAATAGCTCATTTTCCCCAGCTTTTGATACATTCTCTTTTGATATACAGCTTGAAAAAATCTTCTGACATGTTAAAATATAATCTCAGCAGATATTTCTGAGAAAATTTTGACTATTTTTTGTTGGCAGTAGACTGGTAGTAGTAGCAAGTTGGCAAATGCTAACTTTTCTATAGAACATCCAAATGCGCTAAAAATGTGGGCTTCGCGGTTTTAGCTGATGCTCTTTCGAATGCGTATAAAAAATCAAAAATTAAAATTTTGACAAGTGCCTCATATACTGTAGATATATTTGATCTTATCGCGGAGTCTCCTCTTAAATGATCTTATTGATCGCGTCGAAAATTGGTTGCATCGAATATTGTCCATTTTGAAAACGAAAATTGCAACTATACAATAAGCGACCTTATGTAAATTATAGTTTGTCACGCTACATTTTATGGTATATTTTGTTTTTGAAATAACCGTACTAGATGATAAAACAAAGAAATACAAAAACGCCGACCATTAATTATGAGACACCCATTAGTATTGCACTGGATGACATATTCTTATTTGTTTGCCATATGTATGCAAAATAAGAATCTTGGAGCATCACATAAATGTAGGAAGTTTTGTTGTCATAAAAAACAGATGAAGATTAACTGTCAAAACTTCTAAGCGCACGACCTGTACGATTGTTGAGTTCAAAGACAACAAGTTGATTACTACAATCTCTGATATACAATGCATTATTGTAACCTAACAAGATGTCTGTTTGCTCGTTTAATTTTGTTTTATGTGTTCTTGAACTGCCATTATAGCTACCATGTATTATTGTACCGAAGTGGATTGTAGATGAAACTGTTGTATCTGTGAACAATAATTTAGGAACGAGAAGCATTTCAACAGTTCTTTGATCTGACTCTCAATTTTTGGCAAAATGTTTTTTTTTAAGTAAACAGTTCATTATACAGTCGAATACACCGTATTGTTTATACTATAGCTTAGAATTTTTACTGCCATAAATAAGAAAAAATCTGTGCTTACTCTAGTCCTGCAATCTGATCCGACCCCACCCGATCCGCGGACGGCTGCGGGTTGAACTTTGAAAAATGTCGGGTTCACGTGTTCTAACACAATATATCGCTCTCTATGTACTTTTCCATGATTGATTTAATAAGTCAAAATGTCATAAAATGATCGATTCTTATTATTTACATATATGATATCGACGGTTTTTCGAATTCTGAAACGATCTTTCAGTTTATCATTCTTCTTTGCAATATAAAAAATTGTTGGAACCAAGGTAGATGTTTATACTAACATAGCTAATATTTTTGAAAACGGTTATAGAAGAACGTAGCAATATTGCCAAAGTTGTATTGTTAAGTTGCAGCCATAACATCTGATATCTTGGAATTGTATAGTACTATCTTGGTTCAATAATCTGCCTAAGTTTTGAAAGGTTTGCTGGTGTTGTGTCCGAGAATAATATATTCTAAAATTGTTTTATAATTAATAGGATTTCTTGGTGCCAATTATGTGTGCATTCTGTATCATTATAAAATATTTTCAATTTCGATCGAACGACCAAAATTGAAGAAAATAGTTAATATCGCATAAATGATCAATAGAATTTCGCATTCGAGTCAGTTCTCGCTCGGGTGCAGCTGAAAACGTCGAGTTGGATACGGGTTCCAAAAGTTGAATCCGTGCAGGACTCTAGCTTATATAATGTGGAAAACTGATGGTAAATATTTTTGAAACTCAACATAATAATGTGCACTTCTACAAATGAGATTCAAATCTGATCGGCATGTAATTGATTACTCACATTATCATTTTCAAATAAATGTAATGCACAAACTAATTCATACGAGTATGTATATATTGGACATTGACATGTACTTGTATTTATCAAACAAACTTCTTATCGATTTTGTTGACATGCTTGACAAGTTGATTATGAATTGTCGAGTAAAGACTTGATGACACATAAGCAATGTCAACAACAGAAATTGATGAAGATGATGAAATAATTAATCGTGTGTAGTATGATCTTCGAATAAATGAAATTATTTTGAAACTAAATCATAATCAAATATTCGACAAGATAACAATTGATTATATGCTGCAAAATACATAATCATAGGCAAAATGGTTCCTCTTGATACAATAGAGGATTTTTTCATTTTTCATTACTTGAGAGCATAAGATTGATAATCATCTTTTTGTTGATTTATTTCATTTTCTTTTTAAATATCATTTAAAACGATAGTTAACTGAAAAAAAGTATTAAAAAAAATCTTCTTTCATTATGTTCTTGATTCATTATTGAAAGATTTGTTAGTTTGGATCTGTCAATGTCCAAACTGAAACATCGGTCAAGTTCGTAAACATTTTTAGATTAAAACGATATGTACTGCATTTGATTTCTGACTCTCCTCTACTTTAAGGTATCATCTTATTAGATTCAATTGAATAGATCAGCTTCAAACTTTTGATTAACGATATATTTATTTGTTACAAAGTCCATTCACCTTACTCCATATAAAGCAAATAAGATTACAGAAAGTCGTTCATAAGTTTCAGTTTGTATGAAAAGAACTGGTCATCCGCTCTTTGATTTCGTTCTAACGAATAATTAAACTGCGAGATGTCACGAGTTTGATTTATTATTATGTGAGAATACTACTTTATTTTAAATTTCTAATTATTAAGTCATATTGAAAATATTATTTCATTAGAAAGAGTTCACTGAATAAATGTTATCAAAGAATCAATATATTGTGGTGCAGAATATTTGACTTGTTTGCTCCGTTGATTAATC